GGGCCCAGGGCAGTGATAACGACCCCAAACACACCTCCAAGACGACCACTGCCTTGCTAAAGAAGCTGAGGGTAAAGGTGATGGACCCTATTGAGCATCTGTGGGGCATCCTAAAACAGAAGGTGGAGGAGCGCTAGGTCTTGAACATCCACCAGCTCTGTGATGTCGTCATGGAGGAGTGGAAGAGGACTCCAGTGGCAACCTGAGAAGCTCTGTTGAACGCCATGCCCAAGAGGGTTAAGGCAGTGCTGGAAAATAATGGTGGCCAGACAAAATATTGACACCTTGGGCCCAATTTGGAGATTTTCACTTAAGGCTCATGCAGACTACACAACTTTCAGTGTCGTCCGATGGCCGTGCTGTTCACACTACACAAGTTACCGTCTTGTGACGGAGTGTTGAAGTTGTTGTGGCGTTCACACTACGTGACTGATCGGTGACTGGGGGTCACACACTACATGAGCTGACAGCAGCTGTGTCACCCGACACTGGTCTCCAAACCACATTTTGTGTAGAAAACACACTTGAAATGTGAAACGGGAAATGACACGAACCTACACACGAAACAGCTGTTGTTTGTTATTATAAAGATAGCAATTATAAAGACAAAGAATATGGGTGAAAGAATGGATTAGCACAAGCAGGTAGCAGGGACTGTCTGAGCTACAGAGAGAGCTGGAGGTGAGTAAAAAGTGTTTTGCCGTGAAAAAGCAGCTGCCTGCTCTCATTGGCTGGATGTTGGTGTCGAGTCTTTTTTATTTTTGAGAGACGGGACAATGGGTAGTGATAGGAAACGGGGAAAGAAATAGGGGGCGGCATGCAGCAAAGGACCGCAGGCTGGATTCTAACCTGGGCCGCTGTAGTAAGGATTCAGCCTTGTACATGGGGTGGGCAGTCTACCAAGTGAGCTACCCACGCTCCAGAAAGACAGACTTTGTTTGACTATGACAGCTCAAATGCAGACCTGTAGCAGAGCTGAGATGCTGTTGCTTTTTAACATGGCAGGGCTCAGTACTTCTGCTATCTCTTCAGTCAGGCTCAGGATAGTTTCTGTCCTCACTGCTGTTTATTTCCAACAGGTTACTGTAGTGTCTAAAAACATTTTCCCTTCTCATTACTTGCTGTTTGTGAAACTGTCTAACTTGCATTTGACTAATCTGAGTACTAAAATATAGTTGTAAAACCAGCCCGACATTCAAGGTTGTATGTAATCTTTGCATTTCTCCAAAGCTTATCAAATATTGGTAGAAGAAAATGAAGAGATTACATGTGACAATTTTGTCTGAATTCCAACATTTGTTCTCCACAATACCATTAAAGCATGTTTGTGAAGTTGTTCTGATTTTTAGATACAGTATTTCACAATAGATATTTTTAAACTGCAGTGAGATGAACCTCTACAGTCTTATTGGTCCAGCGGTGGTAGATGATCCTCACTCTGCCTGCTATGTTTGTCTGAGCCCTCAGTCAAGACTACCAAATCCGTCCTTGGAATTCAGAAGAGTTTTCCTCCATCTAGTGATGTATATTTCCATCTTGACTTCCTGGAAGTCAGCAGCTGTGGCTTTGATGTCTCTTACCTCCCTTATTTCAGGTCTGTTGCCTCTGCAGACAACCCTCAGCTCTCCCTAGAGGCTTAATTTAATGATGATAGGATGGATGCCAGAACTGAGGTGCTCTCGACCAGTGACAGCCCTCAGGCAGGGATGATCTTCCCCTCACTGAATGACCACCATTGCTTTCTTTTCACCCTAGGAGGCATATATTAGCCTTCTACTTACAGTTGCAACTGTATGACCATCGGTGACTCTCACACTCCTAATTCATAAAATATTGGCAAGTTTGGGTGTGAGGAGTTTGTGACTGAGCTGCTTACAGGGGCTTTTCAGGATTCTCTAGATAATGAGAAACATCTTGGCTCAGGTGTTGTATGAATAAAAAGACAGTCTGTTTTTTAAATTTGTAGACTTTTTACATTTTACATTGTTTTATGAAGTTTACCCTAAGATGGATTGCCTATACATTTGTATTGATTTGTTTTACTTCATGTCCGTGTTGGTTAATGATCTTTTGAGTGATGAGATCAATGCAAAGTGTAAGAATTGAGACTACTCTCCACCTGTCGAAATCATACTTGGGGGCGACATATCACATATCAGGTCAAAACTGTTGCTAACTGCCCTTGACTAGTTAGCTCAGTTAGACGTGCAGCTAACTTAGTGGTCCTATTACTTGACCGAGTCAAGAATGGGCACCAGAACTGGAGCCTGGCGAGCGAGCAACGAAACCGGGGCCACACAAAGCTTTCAGGTGATTTACATTGGTTCCGGCCAGGACTCTGACTCCAGGTATGACAAAGATATGGTCTTTTTTACTCTGATTAATAAACTTTCAAAATCTCAAGGAGGAAATATTCTTACACCTATTTTCCTTAACAAACAGAAACATGCAACCATACTCCTTCTGAATTCAAGTTTCTTTCTTTCACCAAACCAATTGACTTGTTAACTCATCGTAAAACACACTTCATTCAAACTTGATAGAAATTTGTTTCTAAACTCACCAAAACTACCTTGGTTAGTCCACTGTTCCAACAATCACCAACTCAGGTCTGGTGGATATACACCCTTAATCACAGAGTTACATGTGAAAATAGTGTAGCTCTAGATGCTGTCACTGCCTCTCTGATGCCGACCTCCCTCTCGCTCTTCTCTAGCTTGCTCTCCTCGTCGGGGGGGAACTCGCCGTTCACACACATCTCCCTGCTGACACTATTGGGGAATGCCTGAGCTATTCTATTAGTCTATCGCCTCTTGAGGTACAAAGTGGCATTAGAAAACAGGACAGGCCTGGGCTAGCTCATTGGCATGCTAACTTTAGTAGACATGTATGTCATGTCTTTGACATAAGAACATCAGAACTGTTACTTCTTCACATGTTGATAATTTTAGTTAATTTTTTAATGTCTTAAACTGAAATTGTGGCCATATCTTTACACATTGTAGCTTTTTAAAGATTTGTGGTATCAAATATTCATGAATGCAGTGTCTGTGTTGGATATTTGATTATTGTGTTTGTGGCAAGCTCAAGCTTTACATACAAGTTGCATTATCATTTCCATCAAAATGTCTTTTTACAACCAGCAAATATTACTGCCTTGCCTAATGTTACTGGATGTCAGTGCTATTCATCATGTGGTTCCACACTTTTAAAGACTGTGTGAAAATGATTAAAGTCTCAGAATCTGAGCCATCACATATCCACCATGTGGTGTAGGATCTGAGAGATAACAAAGCCTGTTATTCAGGTTTTAAGTTTGCTTGTCAGAGTACAGAGCCAGCACGAGGCTCAGGTGCAGCGGAGAGAGACAATTCTTTCACATTTAGAGGGGAATAGACCTGTCAGTCCTGTAAACCCTTGAGGAACTAACCAGTGGAACCACATGCAGCTCTCTCACACACTGCATTTATCTAGTGTGAACCAGGGTGGAAAGATACTAACGCAGAGCATCATCATGCAGGATGCAGGCAATCTCAAAGGGTGTTGTCTGTTTGTGTTTTCAGAGGTTTTGCTGTTTTGTTGATTTGGATGTACTGCACTGAACATGCATCAAATTTCGATTCATACAGCTGGTTTCTGAACAGAAGCTGAGGGTGCTTTGTTTTGGGTTTAAATAAATAAGTGTGCTCCTTGAAACCCTCTCTGTTTGTTTGCGCATTATCAGGAACAGGATTTCTTTTCATGAGCAAATTCAGATTTTCCCAATCAGTTGTCAGTAAAATGATATAAGGTGGGTTATATATCCCATAAATCATTGGCCTTTCCGTTTACGTTATTTCCTCAATTTGAATTTATAAGTGAGTGACAAGGTAATTTGCTATGTATAGCATTTCTTTTTAAAAACTGAGTTAGTTTGACATTTTGGAAAATTCACTCATTTGAGTTCTTGCTGAGAGTTAAATGAGAAGTTTGATAACACTCATGTTTGTAAGGTAAAATGAAGCTCCAGCCAACAGCTGGTTAGCTCATCTTTGCATAAAGACTGGAAACAGCTAGCCTGGCTCTGTGCAACCCTAACATAATCCTCTTACCAGCATCCCTAAAGCTCACTTATTAATGCTTTATATCTTGTTTGTCTGTAAAAAACAAAACAAAACAAAACAAAAGTATAAAAATTACAATGAAAAAAAATGTGTGGTTTTTAAGGAGGGTTAGGCCTATTTGCTGGACTATTTCTTTACTAGAGCAGTGACTTACTGGATACTCCAGAGGTAATTAATGAGCTTTAAAGGTGCTGGTAGGAATATTTTATTTCCTTTGGACAGAGCCAGGCTAGTTGTTTCCCCCCGCTTTCAGAATATGTTAAGAAGGCTGCTGGCTAGCTTCATTATTATCAGGGAAATAATAACATGGTATTAATCTTCTCATCTAACTCTCTGCAAACCAGCAAATAAATGTATTTCCTATAATGTTTTACAATTCTTTTAAACCTGCTATAACTCTCAAGACCACATATTCTACATTTCAATGAATTTAGTATTTGATTATAAACGAAATGCCTGAAATATGCCTGGCACCAAAGCCAGAGGATTTATTTGAATTTTCAGTAGTAGGCTAGCCTAGTCCCTCAGTTTCCATTTAGCCCCCATCCTGCTATTGCAAAGATTTCTGACATGGAATCTGAGCTAAAATGTAATAGAAATAAGTAACAGGGCTCAAGAGGTATAATTCTCACTTTTTTTGATCTATTAAACTTGCAAGCATTTATATTTGCCCAAATGTATTTTGAGTTGTGTTAACATTTAAAACACAGTCTGGCAGAGTGCAGAATGGGAAGACAATCACATTACAGACAGCGGACCGTTTGGAAACGGTCGAGACTCCGCTGTGACAGAGGCAGCAGCAGTATGGTGGAGGCGCGCGCGCGCGTGTGTGTGTGTGCTGCTGCTAGTGCTGCCGTGTGAGAGCCCAAATGAGTCTGGAGCAGACAGTTGGAGAGAGAGGATCTCTGCCTCATACAGCGTGTCTGTATCAGATGAGAAGGGAGGGGGGTTCACCCAGGATTCCCTTGAAGCTGCTCTCCAGGAAAAAGAAATGTTACCAGATTTTGTTTGTTCCTCGCTTACCCGATAGGATCAGCGCTGCTGCTTTATCTTGTATCATCGTTTCGATATATATTTTTTTTAGAAGATGCTGAAACGGGCAAGAAAAGTGAGGCCGATTATGTCGGGAATAGACACTTTGAAATAACAAGATGCGTTGTAGGAATCAGTCAAATCAATAGCGAAAAGGTCGATTTAATGCAAAGGTTTCTTTTTAAAAAAAAAGTTCTTTGAATGCTGAAACGCAGGAGCTATACGTTGACAGAAGAATGGCAAAGTAGCCTGTTTATCTCTTTGATTGCATCAATATTTTAAGTCCTAATCAATATCTGAACGGTCTATTAAGTTATTAAAGCGTAAATGTCCAAAAACATTCCAGAGAGGCAAGAGTTTTGCTCACCAGGTTCTGAAGTAAAAGTTTTATCTCATTTATATAATATCGCATCTGCTTCATATATTGCTTACAGAAGGCTGGTGCGAGCACAGAGGTGAAATGTGATTTTACTAATATTTTCAAACATCTCAAAAACAGGACGAGGGCTTGCGGAGTTTTTTTTTGTTCCATTTGCGTGAGCGTTTGCTTAAAGATATCAAGGACAGTAGCAAGGGGTCTGTCTGAAAAACTCCAGAGAGCTAGGCTATATGAAGATCGCGACACAGTTGTTGGTCTTCCCTCGCAGAAATGCCAGTGCGTGCTGTGACCACCAGGTTCATGTACAAGGGACTTTGCACTATTCCAGATGTCCTCTCCTACCGGACACCTGTAATCCTGCCTGAGGACGAGGTGGAAGGTGAGTCTTGCTTGTTTGGTCGGTTGGGTTGCGGTTTCAAGTTTCTATTTGAATGTTAAGAGTTGTTGCACATAAATGCAAGGTGAGATGGACTCCAGCCGGTGGAGTTTCCTGATTCACACATCTGAATGCACACTAAATTGTAGGTCTGCTTGTAAAAAGGTTCTGCAGTACAGATATTCTACATTATAGTCGGGGGTTTAAATGTTCCACAAAATCTGGGACCCCTAGAGAAACTGTTTGCTCTTTGTTCACATTTCTATCTCTTCAGCTGTCTTTCTTTTTGCACATTGTTGCTTCTGATTTTTGGCACAAAAACACAAAAGCCTGTCAATATTTGTCCTTTGTACATCAGTTCAAATAATAATTACAGTAAATAGCTTATAATGCTCATGGTTTTCAAGCAGCTACAGTACACAACACATCTCAAGTTCTCCATACATGTCATGAACTCGTGAGTGAACAACAATCTTCTGGCTATGTCCACGCCACCTGTGGGACTAAATTGCACCTGATTTTACTTAATTCGTTTGTGTTTGAGCCTAGAGACAAGACCAAAGAGTGAGGGGGACAAGGCTTAAAATTGGCACAAAAAAGAGGAGGCTGAAATTGAGATAATGGCTCTGAGTGAATGTCACATTTCAAGCTAGTTAAAACATTACAACACCATTTCTAGAAAATCTGTGGCAGATAACAACCCATTAATAAGATGTGAGATTGATTTGTTTATAATTAAATTACATCCTCTCATCTCTTTCAGGTTTACGTGATATGTTGCATTTTGTCATTAATGAATACAAAACAACCATCAATAGCAGTGTTGTACTTCTATCTAGCCATCTAAAAGATTCGTTTGAGCATTATAATTGTTCTTGCTATAGTAACCGTAGTGCATAGCTGTGAAGAATGGAGGTTTTGTTTTGGCAAATGGTCTCCACAATGAGAAAGCACAGCTGGCAGTGATTTGAAGCAACGCCAGCCAGACTACAATAAAGAGATAACTCAAATCAGATTTGATATCACAAAGTCTTTTATGCAAAGGGAATTCCATTTCCTCTTCTTCTGTCTGTAGGTTGCCCGGGCCCACAAGTGGCGGCCTGCCCTTGCTTTGAGCCACTCATTTGACATTGAAAATCCACTATCTGCAATGCCGACATAAATTTAATTAAAAGGTTGGCTATGGAAAAGCAAGAATTGAAATGAGTGTTGTGTGTTGCAAGAGAAGCTATGCAGTCAGTGATGATGCAGCTCTTTATTAAGGTAATGGAGAAGCCTTTTCAAACTGTAGTTTTCTAATTGAGACACATTAAATATTCAGAACATAGCGAGACAGACCGTTCAACCGTGAATGTATTTACCCAGAAGATTTCACTGAGCATATAATGCACTGCTGCATTTACAGGGCCTTGCACTTTGGCAGTGCCCAGAGTAAACAGAGCTTCACCTTTTGTCACTGAGCAGCTCCAAAAGCACATAAAGCATGTTAAAGAGTACTTTGCTTGTAGTTGTTGAGGGAGGTAAGAGAGTTTCAGATGAACCTAAGCCAGACTGAGGGGTTTGAATCAGCCTCGTGCTTACAGGTCAACTACCTTTTACGCTACTACTGCTCCACCTTAACTCCCAGTGTGGGAGTGTACTGTTGTTGGTCTGTGAACGGTGCTGCAATCCAGTGTTTCTGAATGAAAAAAGCTCCCTTTTTCACAGAGGTCTGAAAATCTGCCTATAAATATTATTTCATTCGCAAAATCTTTAATTACTGCGGGGCAGAAGAGCCCTGATTGCTCAACTCATGTAATTACTCTCCCTAATCATATTTATGATAATAGATTTTTCCAAGCAAGGTGTGTGTGTGTGTGTGTGTGTGTGTGTGTGCCAGTGTAATATGACATGTTTGGGATCATCTGAGAAACAGATTAAAAACACATCACTGAACTGTAATGTATTAAGCTATTGGAGATGACTGTACGACTATATGCTAGAAATGCACAGTAATGGTGTGCCTTCATTTTGACTCTAAATCAAATCTCTCAAAATGTGCCAGAATGAAAGAAAGAGCTCACTACCTTAATTGACATGCTACTTGGTTACTCACTCCTGCTATAAAATGTTTTACACATCATAGTCAACAAAACCTGAAACCCAGATCAATCATTCTTAGGCATTTAATCCAGATGACTGCAGTTAACATAACAATGTAAGATTTTATCTACGTTGATTATTATCCGGTCACTATACCTTATTGCAAATGAATGTCTTCTTTATAATACATATTAATTTTACTACATTCATTTTACCTCAATCATTCTTTATCGCCTGCACAATGTCTTACATAATCCAATACATCTATACTTCTCACAAACATATTCACCTTAAAAAGCAATACTAACCAAAAGACATGATATTTTATTTTAATGTTTGCAAGCAGAGACAGCAGAGAAACTTGCATACTATAGAACAAGTGAGCATAAACCTCAGTGAGTCCTGTGATTAAATCAACAGGAACTTCCCTTGATGACATTGTTGCAGAGACACGCTGACCACCATTTTCAAGTGCCCACTGACAAACACAACACACAAGGATAAAAGGACCTTGTGTCCTGTGCAAGGAGATGGCGCATGTTACACACCATGGACAGTATGTGAAACATAACTTCCCTGGAACAGACTAAAGAGTTTAGTTCAGTTTAAGCTTCAGGTGAAACTGTAAAGGAAGTCCATTGTACCAGCTAACCTATATATACTATACTATACTGTATCAAATGATTTGAAACAAGTAAAAGGTTAAAATGACAGGGACATACATTAGCCACATATTGAAGAATAATGAACATGTCTAGGGATTTCCCACCACCCCTTTTGAGGTCAGAAAAGACAATGTTGCATTTCAAATACAACAATCTTGGGGCCGTTAACAATATCATCAGCCACTTTGATTTTTAAGTAACCGTCAACCACCTCGGTTCAGTGCTAAAGCCAGTGCAGAGGTGCCTTGAGCTTCAGGTTCTCAAATGGTGACTAGATGCCGTTTCAGTAACAAGCCAACTGTGTTAACTAACTGAGACAACCACAACATTGGTATTCAATATTTGGAGAAACTCTATTAAAAAAACTGTAAACTGTAGCAACTACATTAGTAATAGTAGTAAGAATTACAGACACTGAAAAGAAAAATGACTGTTTACTGATGAGCTTTAGGGAGGCTGATTAAGCAGTCATAACTCTGCATCTGCAGTTTCCAATGTTTTTCGAACAGATGGTCGCCTAGGTGTGCAGGGTCAGTGGCAAGCGTTCCTGCCCTTTTAATGCCCTTATGTCATACAGTTGTCATAAATCCTGATATGTATTCAAATCATTACTACTGTGCAAGCAACTGTACTACTGCTTCTTCCAAAGCAGTGTTTAATCTCTCATTCAAAACCTGATTAGTTTTAGTTAGAGGTGTAATTATGCAATCTTTTAAATTACTAACCTTGGGCATTTGGTCCTTAGGTAGTCTCTCTGTGGAAAGAAAATCCCATTTTTTTCATCACAAATTACATCTACACTTGGTCAGAGGCTTGAATACCAAAAAGGTTAAGTAATGGTATGTTAAGCGTGAAGCAAGATGGATTACTTAGCAGCTACTCAGTATAATGTATCCTTTTACTTGGGAGTGCACAAAAAGAGTAACTAGTAATGATTAAGTAATCAGTTATTAATGAGTTGTTACTGTGTCACTCAGTGGCTGATTTAGAGTAAATCAGGAACTACTCATGAGCAGAGTGGTCAGTAGGTCAATACACAGATATTTATGAACTAATCATTACCTAATGATTCATTAATACAGTATCTTTCAATCTGTCCTCTAACTTGTCATATTCCGTCCTCAATTCTAGATATTCAGGAACTACTTATTAGCAGTTAATTAATTATCTGGTCGTTACTTAGTACTCACACTTTTGAGTAGACCTGCCGTACTGTAAAGTGCTACCAAATAGCTTAATGATAACATATCAGTACTCACTATATTATTCATGCTCAACACAGCCATTAAATATTTATGTGTGTGTTTACCCTGTGTGAAAGAGTTGGAAGTGCCTATGTAGCCATTATGCTGTGCCAAGTCTCTCATTTAATGAGCACAATACTAAAACCCAGGTCCAGAGCCAAGTTCAGACCATTATGCATGAATGACTGGGATAACTGAATACATCTATGATACTTTGACTAATTTACATTGAAATTGCTCCATTTCATTGAATAATTACACTTTTGAAACTCAAAATAATTATGTATATGTAAATACAGTATATATAAGGTAATTGACTGATGTGCAATATTTTGGAACCACACATAGAGCTATTTTATGATTTTATGACAAATTATTAATTATATGAGTACAAATTATATTTATATATATGAATTTCTTATTTTGAAAAAGGATCTCACCATGTCAGTATTACAACCGTAAAACACATGCCGTAACACACCGTAAAGTGGCAGACACTTTAACTGCACATGTGTCGAGACTGATAAGACTCTCGTTTTACAGCCGAACAGTCATGACTTCCCTGCAGTTACACTCTTGGAGGTCTCTTCGAGCTTGTGTCACTCCTCGGTGCATCGCTGACAGAGGATGTGAATAGTATTTATAGATCACAGCCAGCAGGAGAATCCCCCAGACATCAGGCATTGTAGTGGAGTGTAGACCATCTTCCACTCTGTATGCAAAGCCGTCTTCTTTTGTGCTTACAAATGGAGTGTTTTTGCAGCAACATTGTAAACAGACAAGTGTGTGTGGTACTGCATTACAGCTGTCAAGGACAGTAAATATATTTAGTACACATACAGATTAATATTTGCCAGGCCAGATTTACAGAGTGGAGATGCTCTTCGTACTCTGCATTTGAAAAATATTGATTGGGTTTATTGACTTTAGCAAATACAAACAGTAAATATTTTATTTTGTGGTTTTTTATATTTTCACAGCAAACCAACAATAATAAGGTTAGAAAACTATA